GTAACGTGCATTAATTTCTTTGGTAAAGTGCGTCCAACTGCCCAAGTCCAGTAGATCAGCCGTAGCTTTGATCTCTGGTTCTTCAACGGGCGTAATGTCTCCTTCCTCGTTCACTTCGAAGTACCCAGCAGGACACAACACCGTTCCAGCTGAGATACGAGCGATCTGAGCTCGTAAGTAATTTTTCTCCACGCCAGGGAACGGTGGATGTCCTAGAACTGGCGCCTCCAAGTCTCCTCGAACGTAACGACGAAGTTGTCGAGCTGCCAAGATCTGATCACGTCGAACTGGAGGCAATTGGACCCACTGGTACATGCCGTTGTCTTTCATCGCCCAGTACGTGAGCTTGTTGGCTCCAGTGGCGCCTTCCTCGGCGTCTAAATCTTCGGGTTCATATGCAGTAGACAGCTCTCCTTCAGCGATGTAGTAGTCTGCTCCACGACCCAGAATCTTCCCCCAGAAGCGCATATTCACAGTGCCGTTAGTCTGTGCTAGTCGCTGCAGTGCCAGGGATAGTCGGAAGGTCTCTCCCTTGGAGAAACCCAGGCCAGCCCACTCGAACATGTTCGCTTCATCCAATAAGTCCGCTACACCCGTAGCAGGCTCGGATGGCGCTTCGTCTTCTGACTTGAGCTTGAGAAGCTCCAACGCCACGTTACACCAGTTTTCTTGGTGTGCTTGCTAAAACGGAACTAAACGTTAGCTAAAAGGAAATGCTCTACAGAAGACATAGACGAACGTACCGCTTGTTTCTTGATACTTGATAGTTGGGCGTCTCCATCGGCAGTCGGCGGTTGTTGAGGGGCTAAGTAGCGCTGTTGCTTGACCAACGTCGAGATGTTTTCGAAAGTCTCGTGAAGGTTTTCCGGCCGCTCGACGATAATTTTAAGCAACACGTCGCCCAAGTGGTCGTAGAGATTCGTCCCATCGGGTGACTCCTTCTTCAAAAAGGCCTTGGCTTCCTCCAGTGTTGTCATAGTTGCTTTAATTCTGTCGAAGTGAGCTGTAAGGCACCACAAGTCGATGTTTCCTGTTGAACCGTCACCCCACTCGACTCTTGCCAGGAAGATTTTCCAGCGACTCTAAAAAAACACACACACAATTAACCGCATCAATTGTAATTGGGGTTAATTAAATAGCAGTTTAGGTTAGAGGTATCCCGCAGATCCAACGCCCTCCCATGCCATAGTATTGAGGTTCTCGCCAAAATCTGCCGCAGAATCGTCGTAGTGGTTGATGCCTGGAGAGGATGTCGTCGCTGAGCTAGCCCTACGAGCTGAAGCTCCAGTCTTCCTCGCTCTCTTGCCTCGTGGATACTTTGTGCCACCTGCAGAAGCTACATCAAAGCCAACATAGCAACCGTAAGTCACCGAACCTAAGAAAACAGGGAATGAACTCTAGATTCACGTACCTCGTCGTGGTGAACCAGTGGCTTTCCTTTTCTTGCCACTCTTACCGGCCTTGCCACCTCGTCTATAAGATTTTGGTGCCTCTCCTGCCTCCTTGCGAGCAGCATTTCGCTTGCGCTTCCGGGACTCGGCTTGTCTAGTAGCGAGGCGATCTGCGTATGATTTCCTTGATCTGAATAGATAAGGAGTTAATAAAGTGAAGTTGTTTACTAGAACACAAGCTGAAGCTCACCTCTGGCCAGCGAACATCTTCTTGTAGTTGATACGACATCCATAGTCTCGTCGTAAGTCTTCCATGCAAACGAAATGCTCGAATTCCTTAAACTCCGATCGAACTGTCAGTGGGCGTGGATTGGTCAACGACATCGTGGCCTGCATACCAAGACGACATAAATACTAAAACAGCGGCCAAAACAAGAGTAGCAGAGCTTGTCTAACCTCATTGTCAGAGATATCTTCCACATAGTCAAGATCGGCACCGGCAACTTCATTTGGAGCATCGTACGCGTCATACTGGGACAGATCCGCGTACGGGTTCTCGAGATCACTACAAAACAAATAAATGTTAACCTTTAATAAATGGTCTCATGTGATAAACTTACTCGTCAATTGTGTAGCTGGGCTTGCGCTCCAATGGGCTAGAGGATAAATCGACGAATTGGTCCTCTGGAATCTCCTTGTCTTTCCAAACCAAAAAATAGCGGAATTAGTTAACAATATTTTAATACAATAGAGGCAAAATCAGCTCAAACATACCGGTAGGTAATGCCGAATCGCACAGTTCACATCGCGTGCGTCCAGGTGCGTTGATGTTTGTACACACTGGACATTGTGGGCCTTTTGCAGCGGCCTTCTTCGGTTCATCATCTCGAGAACGGTCACAAAGTTCACACCGCGTGGTACCCGGAGCGTTGAATGTTGCGCATAGCGAGCATTTCCATCTGTCGTTCGAGCCAACAGCATCCATTTTTCTTGTGCTTAGGCACATCAGGCAGTCGGCAGTATCAGGTGGGTTCAAGTTCGTGCAAATATGACACGCCCACCTCAAATTCGATGCCCCTGCTGACTCTGGTGTACGAGGGGGGTCTCTATAGCGTTTGCAGCTGCAGCTTGCGCATTCCATAGCAGTCTGGGCATTCAGGTTTGTGCAAATCTGGCACACCCACTTATCTTCCCACGCATTATCCGTTTCATCCTGTCTTCCTAGCAGCTTCGGGTTGTCATCTTCGTTCTCTGAATCACTCAAATCTAGTCCAGCGCTTGCCAGTTTGTCCTCAATTTTAGACTCTTCAATACGAACTTTGCTCGCAGGTATGAATCCTGGATAACGAGGTGGGGACGATATCTCCACATCTTCGACCATGTCAACGCTTCCATCTCGACTCTTCGTCTTGTCTGTTGCACATGGGTCCTCCACTACATTTTCAGCTACTGGAGTTGTAAATACTGAAGTTCCGGATCCCAGCAGGTTAAAACAGGGCTCCTCCATTGCTATATCTTCTTCTTCTGCCTCTTCCTGCCTTTCTTCCTCTTCTTCCAACATCGTTGCTGGCTCCACAGCATCATTAGGACGCTTGACTGTGGTTTCAGCCTGTGAGTCTTGGTCTCCGATCCTCTGTGTCGCTGTAGAGCCAGCATTCTGCTCTATTCTGCCTGTATCAACCTGTTCCCTTTGCGGCTTCCTCTCTGCTTCTATAACGACGTTCTGGCGCCGATTTCCGCGTCGTCTATTTACTTTGAGTCTTGGTTCTTGTCTCCATGCACTAGTAGCACCTGGATCGCTCTGGTTTCTTGGCAATGAGCTGAAGAATACACCTGCACTTGGACGATACACAAACTGCACTTCGGAGGCTGTAGCAGATGCTGTAGATGGTTCTGTGGACTGAGAATTTCTTAGCTGATGCACAGGAGGCCGCGCATTATCACAAGCTGCACAGCGGTCCTCCGCTGCCGCGTTGAGCAGCGTGCAGAGCGGACAACTCCACTCCTCGATAGCCGCCTCTTGCTTCCGCGTCCGCGCCATTTTTCAAAACTCATGCAATTATCACCCGCGCTAAATTAGGAGATGTGATTGGACGATAAGATGAATAACATAGTAATAGTAGTCGGAACAAAATAAAATAACTGTGAAACTTGTTAAACCTACTCAATTGAATACTAATCACTACAATAGTTAATAATGAAGCATGCTGTAGCCATCCTACCAAAAGATGGCTACATCATGCGTCTTGAAGCCACTCGTGCTTCAAGAGCTCCGCTGCTGAAGGACGCGACTCCGGGGAAATGTCCAGCATGCTCTGCACGAAGCTTTTAGCCTCTGCAGATACCGATTCCCATTGCGGCTGATCGTACCACACAGCGCCTAGACTGATGAGCTTGAACAGCTCCACATCGTTCTTGGCCTCATCGAATGGCACTAGTCCAGTCAGCATCATGTAGGCGAGGATGCCTGTGCTCCAGATGTCTGCCGGTGTGCCGTGCAGGCGACCCGACACCAGCTCGGGACTCAGATATTGCGGAGTGCCACACATAGTCTCGAGACGGCGATTGGCCAGCTCCAGCTCCTCCGAGAGGCCAAAGTCCGCAAGTTTAGCAGTAATCGAGCCGTCCTCGTTCTCCGAGAGCAAAACGTTCTCGGCCTTGACATCGCGGTGTACCTGACCCATAGAGTGGCAGTACTCCAGTGCAGACAGCGTCTGCTTCAAGATCTGTTTAGCCAAGTGCTCAGGGACGACATTTTGTTCGTCCATCATTTTACGGACGCTGCCCTGGTTGCAATATTCCAGTACGAGCAAATACTTGCCGTCCTCATTATAGAATCCATAGTGGGAGATGATGTTGGGGTGTTTCAGGCGGTTAAGAGCTCCCACTTCAGCGATCAACACCTCGCACCCTTCTTGAGTCATAGCGTCGTCTTTTATAGACTTGACAGCTACAGTCTCCCCCGTCTCGCGGTGTGTAGCTTCAAAAACGGTAGAGAACTTGCCAGAGCCAAGTTCCAGTCCTAGTTCGTACGTGTCTTTAAAGTCAGCCACCACCTCGGCGTCCTGTCGGAAGCTCATCTTGTCGAGCTTGTGCACAGCCTGGGAAGCGGCGACGGCGTGGTCGCTCATGGTGCTGACGAACCGGTGGATCAGACTCTTGCCATCCTCTTCATGGGGGAACGACCAGGACGTCAAGTTCTCGTCTACTTCGACGCATTTGTCGATGCCAGCGATGCGCATCACCTTCTCCAAGTCCTGATCGCTCACGTGTGAACCGCGGACTGTGGCCCAAGAGCGCGGCGGCAGAACGCCTTTGGGCAGACCTGCCTTCTCCAGGTAACTCTTCGGCATCATACGAATGACTTTAGCGCCCGGACACAGGAGCTCCTCGACCTGTTGGGCTGGTAAGTCGCCCATGAGACTCACGTAGAGTGTGTGGGCGTTGGTGGCGTGGGCGGCCAGCGCCTCGCGTGCGTTGGTGCCCAGGAAGACGAGGTCGCAGTCTGCGAGCACAGTCTGATTGGTCTCCGTGGTGGTGAAGCCCAGACGGTGAAAGACTCGCCGTCGTTCCTCGGACGGGTCCGAGGCCAGCAGAGTGGACACGAGACGCTGCTTCTTGTAGCTGAACTTGCGCTGCGGGGTCACGTTCTTGACCAGGTCACGCGCCACGCGCTCGGCCAGGCGCCCGGAGCCGATGAAGCCGACGCTCACGACAGGCATAGCGACGGATGGTAAACGAAAAGGCTTGAGAACTTCGAGGCAGAATGGCAAGTGAAGAGCTGGGCAAGCGCCGCCAGCAGTTGTTGCTCTTGCAGATGTGGCCCTTCTGTCTGCTCTGATTGATGTAGCAGAGTGCACTGAAATGCGTAATACGTAGGTTTGTTTTAAATTTATTCTGGAAAGACTTGGATTGAGTATGCTCCAGTTTTGACAAAAGGAGGAAAAACGATTTTTGAAGCGTTTTTCTGCCGCCAGCGAGAAAGCATTGAAAGGCATGAGTTGTGTGATACTGTACATGTAGCAGTGACATACAATGTACATGTCATGTAAAGGATACTTTGGTGCTATGGTTTCATTAGGGCTACAGTGGAGTTTAAATGTACATGGAAACTAAACAGCAACAGTTTTGTGAATCTTACCGCATACTCTTATCTGCGAAAACACGGGAACTGTCAATCAACCAAAAGTCGCAGCCATTTCGTTCTCAGGCAAGCGTAGATACGCCGCTTTCGTATGGTTAACAACATGACCGTTGGAAACGGTATTGGCTAGCATTTCTTCCATTGCCTAACGACAGAGGGCTTTCGAGCCCAGATTCGACCAGCCGGTAAGGCAAATCGCAGTTGCCGTTTAATTCCGCAATTCCGCGATGTGTATGGGCGCAATCTTTGCCCAGCACATTGTTTGGTATTTTTCCAAGTGCTTGTAAACACGTTGGCGGAGGTTGGTTGCCCGCCGGCAGCACGCCAGGACGGCCGCAGCGATCTTTCGCTTAGTGTATCCATGTATGGGGCGATTGGATGCCACGGCAAGATTCGAGCTGATTGGGGTACGCATCGAGTCAAAACTTGAGTGTTATGTTTGGAAAGATCCGATTGGTCCGAAAATGGTCATCACCAATTACGCGTCACCAGCGTCTCCATAAAAGTCCGCTATGGTCATACTTACGACAAGTCAATCTTGCCTGACGACCATCGTCCATGGTTGTACACTGTCACATGTTGCCGCGAGAGTGGCAAGCGCGCGTCTCTGCGGCCGCCGTGCAAGCGCAAACGCTTGCACGTCTCTGACAGGGTTGGCCGCCCAGCGTCTAAAATGCATCAGCGTCTATTGCTTCCTTCGAAAGGAATCCTAGCCTAGAGCCCTAAAATACTGGGGGCCTCCCTACTACGTAGTACATGTCCTCGCTGACGAATCTCCTTCTGCTTGGTGCGTAACGGATTGTTAAACAGGGAGCCGTTCGCACGTTGAAGGTAGCCAAGTTCAACGAGCTGCGGAGTTTTCAAGCGCCACGGCTCACGGCTCACGGCTGCTCCACGTCGTCCTTGGGCTTCATGGCCGGGAACATGATCACCTCCTACAAGAGCCAACGCCACCATGATTTATATGCGCGAAAAGATCAGTCAAAAGTGGTAGGAATAAGAGAAACGCCACTGCTGTTGCACGTACCCGGATATGGGGCTTGCCTGAGAGCAGCATGACCAGGCGATCGATTCCAATGCCAAAACCGCCTGTGGGCGGCAGGCCATACTCGAGCGCAGTGCAGAACTCATCGTCCTTGCTGTGTGCCTCATTGTCGCCGCGCTGCTGGTCCGCCTGCTGCGCTGCGAACCGCTGGCGCTGGTCGAACGGGTCGTTCAGCTCTGTGTACGCATTGGAGAGCTCTTTACCCGCAACAAACAGCTCAAACCGCTCCGTAACACCTTCCTGTTCGCGGTGCGCCTTGGCTAGCGGACTCATACACTTCGGGTGGTTGTACAGGAACGTCGGATTCACGCACTTGGGCTCGACAAAGTGTCCAATAAGCTTGTCCACCAGCCGTGTGCATGTATGAGGCTTAGCACATTCCACGTTGTGGCGCTCGCACAGCTCCAGGAGCGCCGGAATTGAATCTACAAGATAAATACATGAGTATGCAGGCCTAATAAAAGGGTTACGTTCTTATCCTACCTGGTGAATTGACGTCCGGTAGCTCCTCGCCGAGGCATTCCTCGAGCGTTTCAAGGATCGGGAGGCGCTTGAATGGCGGCGTAAAGTCGATCTCCACCATAGCAGGCTCATCCTCCAAGCCCTCCGAAGACTCGTCCATAGGGTACTGAATTTTGTACGATCCAGTGACGTCTTTAGCGATACCAGAGATCATTTCTTCTGCAGTGTCCATGAGTGTGTTGTAGTCTGCATAAGCCTGGTAGAACTCGCAGATGGTGAACTCCGGGTTGTGCGTGGCGTCGATGCCTTCATTTCTGAAGACTTTGCCGATCTCAAATACGCGGTCGAAGCCTCCGATGATAAGCTGCTTAAGGAAGAGCTCGGGTGCAATACGAAGGTACAGATCCTTGCCAAGCGCCCGTGAGTTGGTCACGAACGGCTGAGCAGCTGCACCGCCTGCTGCCGAGAACAGCATTGGCGTCTCGACCTCGATAAAGTTGCGGTCTTCTAAGTACCTCCGAATTCCTCTCACAACCTTCGCACGCGTCTCGAAAATCGGACGCACGCCCGGATTCGTCAATAGATCCAGGTATTTCTTTCGGAAGCGGATCTCCTGTCCATGTCAAGCCAGGTATTACATCGATTAGTATGCTATCTCTATAAAATATCAGCAACCTTTGCTCTTACCGGTTCCTTGATGCCGTATTTGCTGTTCGGGAAGGGCTGGATGCAAGGTGCCAACACTTCCAATCGCCTCGGGATGATACTCAGCTCTCCTTTGCCAGACTTGCCCGGGAACCCCTTCACTCCGATGATATCACCGCGACGTAAACTCTCATGCAGCGCTCGAAACTCCTTCTTTGCCGCCTCTTTATCATCAGCAGCGTTATCACCGCGGCCTTCAAAGTGCTTCACCTCGGACAGAACTTGCACCGTGTGACCATCGCTTTGCAGATCCAGGAACACGAGGTTTTTGCTGGCATGGCGGATGGCAACCACGCGTCCTACAACGATAAACCTTCGTAAATATTTATAATTTAGTTGACATCAAGCAAATATTGCTTCGAACCTGCCAGTGCCACGGATTCCTCAGTGCATCGAGCTTTGGGTGCCAGGTCCTCGAACTTCTGTTGATATTCCTGCAGCGACATGCTCACGGGAAAGAAATGCGGGTACTGCGTGAACTTTGGGACATCGTGGAAACGTTCCATAGCTTCAGCCACCGATACGGTTGGGGCCGTGGATAGCAGACGCCGAGCAGAGGCACCATGGCGGAGCCACACGTTCCGCAGCATCATCGCGATTGATTCGCACAATGTTACTGTCAAAAAAACCGGGTGGACCACATGAAAGTTGCACTAAAATGTGCCAAAACCATTTTGAAGTTGCACTAAACTGGCAAGAATCGATAAAAGGCAACTTCCGTTACTGGCCTCGTTTAGAGTATGCCAACACCTCTTACGCCTGAGATGTCTAGACGGAGTTTAAGGGAGCGCGGATACCCGGCAACGGGCTTTCTGTCTCGATGTACACCATTCCATGGTATCCCGAGTCACTACCCGCTACGAACACGAGTACGCATGAAGCTCAAGTTCTCCAAGCTCGGCACAGCATGGGAGATCTTTCAGACGCTGTTCGCTCTATTGGTGTCTGCTGCCTATGTGATACAAACGTACATGCCACTAGATGGCCGCGTACCGACGTTTGATGCGACTGCAATGATAGTTTTTGCAGCCGACTATTTCCTCAATCTTTACTGTTGTGAGAACCGATGGCAATTCATCACAAGCGTCAATGGAATCATGGACGCGCTTACTATTTTTCCAGCTCTTGTGGACCAAATCGACGATGGGCACAGCAAGTCGTTGCCGTTTATCCGCTTCGTTCGGGTCATGCGTATGCTCAGACTCATCCGTGTCGTTCGTGTAGCTGGATCACAGACGGTATCTGCTGTCCAGAAGCAAGTCTACACTATTATCCTACTCACTACGTGTCTTATCTTCGTCGCTGCGGGAATATTCCACGCCGTCGAGTCCAACGACGGCGCTCAGCCTCATTTAACCTTCGGTGAGGCACTTTACTTTATCGTGGTTACCATCGCGACTGTGGGTTACGGTGACATTGCACCCGTCACGTCTGGAGGTCGTGCAGTAGCTTTGGGCGTAATTGTCGTGTCTTTCACTGTGATTCCCACCGAGATCTCGCGTCTCACGCATCTTATGGCATTGCAGTCACACTTCCGCACGACGTATCATCCTTCAGTGGGTAAGCCACACGTTCTGGTCGTCGGACATGTCATGGAGCCTCGCTGTTTGTTGAATTTCTTTCGTGAATTTTACCATCCCGACCGTGCATTGGGCTCTATGACGTCGTTTGCAGGCCCAGCAGGTGTACAACACGAGGTTGATCCATCGGTAGTTGAGCTGCCGTGTGTGATCGTCGGTCCAAAAGAGCCCACTGAGGAGATCATTAACCTGTTAGACCATCCGGTACTTCAGAATCGCGTGACGTACATCAAGGGATCAGTTATGAGTGAGGAAGATATGTGTAGAGTCGGAGCCGACGCTGCTCGAGCGTGTTTCGTATTGGCCTCCAAAGCCGCAGCAAACATCAAACAAACGGATGCTGAGACTGTGATGCGTTTACTGGCGATTCGCAACTACAACCCGGATTTACCAGTATACACGCAGATAGTGAGTCCGGTTTACTTGGACTATATCAGCGGCGTCGATGCTGATCAATTGTTGTGCTTGGATAAAATCAAGATCAGTTTGCTGGCCAAGAGCTGTCTGTGTCCAGGACTTGTCACGCTTATCAGCAATTTGTTCCGGTCTTCCACACTAGTAAACCACCAGATTCTTACAAATTGGGAACAAGAATATGCCGAAGGGATGGCACTGGAAGTGTACGCTACCACGTTGCCGTCTGTATTCCACGGACTCACCTTCAGCCAAGCATGTGAGCTTCTATACAACATATCGTACGGCGAAGTGATTCTGCTAGCAGTATACGAACAAACCAGCACTTCGTCCTCGAAAGCAACAACTCCAAAGTCAGGGAAGACGATACCGCAACTACGACGACAGTGCTCGTGGATGCATCAAGTGGATCGTCCTGCTCAGATGCTGAGTAACCCAGGTAGCTCCGTGATCATGCAGCCAGGCCAGTTAGTGTACGTGATGAGTGAGAGCAAGAAGCTCACACTTACGACGTCCATATCAAACGAGTTGAAGGCCTGGCTGGCTAAAGGTAACGTACTTCCAGCGAGAAGGACAAGAGCAAACATAATGTCCAAACGTCCAATGTCAAGGCACACTGGTCTTCGATCAGTTGGACAACTCAGCACTCCAGAGTCGGTAGAAACCAGATTGATGGACGAAATGCTCATTGAAGAGGCGATATATCCGTCCACAAGCGAAACTATCCGCAACCACATCATTGTCGTGTCAGATCTCGACTTGACATCCACCGTAGCGTTCGCCCAGATGCTGCGACTTGAGCGTCACGTACCTGGTAGTAGCGACTACCATCCCATCATTTTCCTGTCGTGGTCTTCGGCTAAAAGTGCAGTGGCCACTTGTCGAGAACTGCGAGAGTTTGACGACATTTTCATCATGTTGGCGACTGGAGACTCGAAACGCGAGCTTCTTCGCGCTAACATCCTCGATGCTAGTCGCTGTGTCGTTCTTGCGGATAAAGCAAACATCCAGGATGTCGATGGCGAAGCTGTGGACAGTCAGACAATATTCCACTACTTGGCGGTGCTGTCGATCCAGGCTGAATACGGCATGGACACTACGTCTGGTCTCATGCCAATGGTTGACTTGAATATGCCTCACACGATGCAAATTCTCGACTCCACACTGAAGAAACGCACGGCCACATCGTACCAGTATCGTCAACAACTTGACTCTCTCATGATCCATACGGCTCCGGTCTCCATGACAGAGCTTTCAAAGGTTCAAGAGCACTGCGTATCAGACGATGTCGGCGATATCAAACGTAAACTCGGCAAGGCTAACGTCGTCAAGAACATGTACTTGCGTGGGGCAGACAACATCATCAGTCTGGACCAACAAGTGAAGCTCAGCAAACGGATCAGCTCGAAGCGAACACTCATCAAACGCGAGCTCGAGTCCACTCGACGACATTACTTTGACGTGCGCAGATCAGCCTTGCTGCCATTCTTCGCGGCAGGCTATGGTTTTGCGGACGATATCTTCGACAACATGCTTTGTCAGAGTTTTTTCACACCTGGACTGATCCGATTAATCTACGAACTCCTCTTCTCGGAGAACGGCCGGCCTGCTGCGTTATCCGGGAATGACAGGGCAGTGTCATCGTGCACTGCAAGCTCGATAGTGCAGATCCCAGTGCCACTGAAGTTTGTACAGCGAACTTTTGGAGAACTCTTCCTCCATCTGCTCTCCACCAAAGAGATCGTAGCTATCGGCCTGTATCGCGGCACAGACACTCCATTCCAGTTGCCATACGTGGCCACGGGACCAGATAGCGACACAGTCTTGGTAGAAGACGATCTCGTGTTCGTGCTTGCACACCCAGACGCGCTTGACAGTAAGAATTCTGATCGACCACAGCACGAGAAAGCGCATCCAGCTCCCGGTGTGTCAAGCCACAATCACATAAAAATATACGAGAAAGGAGACATCAACACACCTTCAATAGCGGACGATCAACCATCGACACGCTTGCCTCCGCTGACAATTAACTCCAAGAGGACTACACGGTATGGAGAGAATATCAACTTACAATGAACTTTAACACTCGCGATACTTCTCGTCTCCACATTTCAGGTGTGAGCACTCAATCGCTCCCGTTGGTTGGACGGATAAACAGTGAACAGCTTCTCCAGAATGACTTCGTTGTTCGTGATCGTAGTTCCACCAAGGATGATTTGATACTTTGTGTTGTCGCTCAACGCATCGTGTACCTCTTGAATCTACAGTAACATTTCCCAGAGTTAGTGTACTTTACTACCATCTCCAGGTTACAAGAACTCACCTCTTCAAACGTGACGCCGCCCACCACAAACACAACAAAAACGTTTGCGTCTCCCAATAACCGGCTGCCATTGGTACCGCGTTGACCACCGCCGCTACCGCCGAATCCAAACTTGCTGAAGCCGCTCTTGAGGAGGTCAATACCAGCGCGTGTCAGCTGTTCGGACGCATCAACAATCTACACAGATCCCAAGCCAGAAAAACGGTACAAGAACGGCTTAATACGGCGGTGGAGTTTGCATCGATGGACGGACGTACGTGCTGGATTTCTGGAATCGAAGCCTCGGATGGGTCCACAATAGAACTGCAGAGTTTGGCGATCAATGAGTGCGGGGAATCCTTTGTCATCGACGTAACTTCTTCAGTGGTGACCTTCACAAACTGCTGCTCACAATCCTGCAGCAACAATAAAAAGGTATCAGTTGCGGTGTCAGCATACACGAGTGTAGCTTCTAAGCATTACCTTCAGAGGTTCCATCAAGCTTTCTACATAGGTTTCAATAACTGACTTCGCCTCTATCAGTTGTACACCATTGCGGCCAACTGAAACTTCTTTCGATGCGGTTGGCGAACTGCTACCATCATTCCAATCCCAGTCATCCCCTTCAGTATCATGATCCGTTTTGGCTTGTGTGTTGATGTATGGAGATAGCTGGGCGTATAGTTCGGGAAGTGCCGTTTGCACCGAAAACGGAGTCGTTTGTACCGCCTACAAGAGCAGCAAGTGTTAGTGATAGTTGGAGTTGCAACCAGCCTCTACAACAACCTGGTACCTGAAAAACGGTGTCAACAAGAGCTTTTTGAACCATCTGAATGGTAAAGTCTTCCAGGGGTGTGCCGGCCGAAAGCGCAAACGCGTTCACCAATAGTGTTAGTAAATCCTGCAGAGAAAGAAATCCCCCGTTATCTCCCGATGTCTCTGACTGGATTGCAGATACTTGGCGCTGCATTATGTCAGCCATTTCCGGGAGAATCCACTCGGTTCCTCCTTGCTTTCGAAGCTCCAGTTGACGCACTGCACGTTCGCGGCATTTATCCCATCGATTCTGCGATTGGTCCATCCGCTCCAACGCTTCCAAGACGATCACGCCCAGCTCGATCAGCGAGCTGTGTTCAAGGTTGGTAGGCTCACCAGCCTCCAGAATCTTGCTGATTCGACGCAGAACAACATCACGACCACGTACTTTCTCCCCTGGTCTACGCGTAACTGCTGCAGTCTGAAGCTTGCCCTGCTGAAGCAAAGTGTGTTCCACCGCTTGAAGCCGCTTGTCGAGATCTCGCAGCGCCAACTTGGCTGGTCTGAAGGCCAACGATCGAAACACGTTCGATCCGCTAGGAATCGTCGGGTGACACAAACTAGCGCCACCTTTCCACTGGATCTGGGAAACAAACTCCGATGGCTGATAGCCAGACGTGTCAAATGTTGCTGGTGTAATGGACGATATTGGCGTCGGCTTGCACCCGTGAAGAGGGAAAATCTCCGTCACGTTTGGTCGCTTCTATGGTAGCACATTAAATTGTTAGTAGAAAACCCTTACAAACCGACCAATACGATGAGTTTACTACGTACTGTAGCACAATCTTCAGTAGTGTCCTCTCCAGCTGTAGATTTCGTTGGCGTCTGGGGTAAAAGCGCAAGGATACGATCAAGAAGAGAGCTCCCAAACGAGCACGGCGAGGCCAAGTCAGCCGTCCTAGCATCCACAAATACACAAAATGTCACCCTAAAGTCCATACAACAGCCTTCATAGCTCAGTCTCACCGATCAATGATAACCATCGAGGCGGTCTGCTGTCCTTGTAGCATTTGAGGACTTGCCTCTTCTTCAAGCTCGTTCAGAATCCGTAGTAAAGTGTGTCCGATCTTCAGCGACGTCGCTCCAACAGCGAAAATGCGTTCCTTTACATCCAGCCGCGTTCCAAGCATCATCTCTGCAAGAGTGTATGCTAACAGTCTCATTGAGCGTCTGAAAGCACTCGGGATATGTTCAGGCAGTACGTCCTTGACGTGTTTGTACTTCTTCCCTCCATCCGTCGAGTTAAAACTCGCGCCTCCACGCCCCGTAGGCGAAGCAGGTGACGTCGTCTTGTCATCTTCCACCTGGTGCAGCAGCAACGGGAACGCCGACGCACAGGTCGGATGCGAGAGCACAAACAGCGACGGCTCCGGACTAAACGTCTTGGTCGACAGCAGCGGCACCACATTGAGCGGCAGATGTACTACCTGCACTCCGTTCTGGACAGTTATAGTCTCCTTTTTGGTCTCACTATCATTCCAGTCCCAGTCCTCGTCGTCTCCTGTTTGTTGCTCGCTCGATTCCGCTCCAATTTCAGTCTGAAACGTCGCGTTCTTGCTCAATTCCATTGCAAATTCCTCAAATTTCATGACTTTAGTCGCTCTGGCGCCTGTGGCGGCCTGTGCAGCGTCGCCTCCTAATTTACTGAAGTCGTAGCACTCGTGCGCCTTCTCCGACAGGCTGCTGCAGACTGTAAGGCGGTGGATGACGCCCATCGCCAGTAGCCGCTTCAACGCCGCTTCGTAGTCCCATAGGAAGCCCGAGAGGAGCAACGCTACGTGACTGACGCTCTCGTTCTCTTCTAGCAGCAGCAGGCGTCGCAATTCCTGGGGAGACGAACAATTGAGCAGATCCGACGCAGAAAGCACGTTCTGCACGCCCAAATCACGAAGTAACAGCGGCATAGCACCAGCCCAGCGCAAGCTCTCGACGCAGCCAGTCTCAGCCGCCACAAAGGCACCCTGTAGCTGCTCGGCAGCTTGCAGCACGCCGCCCAGGACCTCCTCGGCCACGTTCACCACGCTCATAGATCGTCACTTCCCCAAATGATCAATTTCTGGGTATTTTGTGGACTATTTTTTAGTTTTATGTTATGTGGACCACGTATTTTGGAACACTTTTTTTTGTGACGACCATTTTGACAAGCAACCAAGCACAAGCTTTCCGGTGCTCCTTTCGACGCAAGGACGATGAAGAAGGGTCAGGCGGTCATCTTGGGCTTCGGCGCGACGCTAGTAGGTGTAGCTGGGGCGTTGGGCATCTATCTGCCACGATACAGCACCATGGCGCAGAAGGGCCGCGAGCGTACGTCGCAATACCGCGAGGCTGTGGAAAAGGGTGATGCGGAGCCCGCACCAGAGAAACCATCGTCCTCCATGTGGAAGAACATCGAGAAGAAGTAACGCAGTCAGTGAGTACTTAGACACACCCACGAGCAGAGACGCTGGCTATAGTCGAGTTGAATACAGAGAACAGTTGATTCAAGATATCTCCTCTTCATTCCAGCAATCGGAACGCGTCAGCACCACTGATATCGTCGTCTGGAAGAGCGGACCAAAAGAACCCCAGCGCCTCAAGCTGCGCACGGTCGATCTCAATGAAATCAGCGAAAATTTTCCGTCGCAAGAAGCTCGTTGCCAACTCTCCTAGCTTCAATCCATGCGACTCCTCTGGCCACGGATCCTCTGATGGCACCACGAAGTTAGCAGGGACGTTGGCATGGCCATACACACGCACGTAAATATCCAACGCTGGGAGCACTGCATACTGCCACTTGGCTGCAAATACGTTCCATACAAACCCGATATTTTCGAGTTTCTCGTAGTCCCGTGCAACTTGTAGGAAAAAATCTCCTCGGTTCCGAATATTCCGCGCAATAAAACCGAGTCGCATGCCCCACATCGACTGTGGCCATGGCTCCTCTTCCGGCACGATGAAGTGCGTTTGGATGTTGCAGTTCCCATAGATTCGATGATACATTTCGAATGCTGGGAGAATGCTCTCTTGCCACTTTTGGTCGTGGCTATGGAAGTAAAAGCCCAATTTCTCGAGTTCCTCTCTGTCACGTTCCACATACTCCGCATACGAAGTGGCTCGAACCCGGTTCACCATCGCCCCTAACCGGTACCCGTGCAGTTCTCTCGGCCATTCGTCCTTCTCCTCTCCAGCCACGAAATTCTGGGGTACATCACAGTGACCATAAAGCTGTCGATATCGCCGAAGTGCGGGCATGAATAATACGTCCCAATTGTAGTCTGCTACCACCCACACGAACCCAATGTCGTCGAGGTCTTGAACCTGGCACGATGTCAATTTATCGCGATTTTGACGCAGAAAATTCACATGGGAGCCCAATTTCAGCCCCCACGTGGGTTTCGGCCATTGCTGATCTCCCTCGGGTACCACAAAATTGCGTGTCACTAGCAGATCGCCATGCATTTGCTTGAATGTCTTCAAGGCTGAAAGCGACATTTGTTCCCACTGGAAGCGCTTCCAGTCGCGAATCTGGGGGAATCCGACAGCATCCAATTGACGACGCACACTCTGCAACTCTGGTGAGATTTTGACGCTCGATAAATCGACGAATTTGCGGATCTCGCGGCCTAAATTGAGTCCTTGTGTCTCCTGTGGCCATGGGTTATCGATGGAATTCTGGGCTTCATTCTGAGGCACCTGGAACGTGTAAGGCACGAGAAAATGGCCGTTTTGCTCGTGAAACACTCGTAGAGCAGTGGCGAGCGACGGGAAGTGCTCTGGCTTGCGTCTGGAGCTCAGGAAGCGACGAGCCCCGATGAGCACCTGGCGCTGCATGCCATCAAATGAAAGTGTCACTAAATGATATTTATTTTTCAAATTGAAAAAACAAACTAAAGAAAAATTGATCATATGATTGGTTATAATTTTTTTTGCGAATCACAACAATGTTGAAATTGATTGCAGCAGAGTAAAAAAAATGAGCGGCACTGATGACAAGGAGGTGGCGGAGCAGCGCGCCGTCAACGTCGTGTCCACTGCAGTGTCTGTAGTAGCTGCGGTATTTCTAGGCGGAGGTATATTAGTATACCACACGTAAATCTTATTTACGTCGTCTTTACAGCCAGTACGCCCATTAAAAACCCGCTTGCTATTGTGATTTTGTGGATGCAGGCTTCTACTATGGCATGACCAAGCAGAAGAAAGCGCTGGAGGAGGAGGAAAAGAGTCTGGGCAAGCCGTCAGCTAGCAAGAAGAAGTTTGAGCCCAAGAACGCCACACTATTCGAGCGGAAACTGGCTCTGGACAAGCCTCTGGCACCCGGTACAGCAGCGTGGAAGGCGTTGCTAGGCGTGACGCTCGTCTCGATCACTGGCTGCTGCCTGCTGGTGGGCGGAGCTGCTGCCACTCTCGGAGTAACCAATGTGAGAGCCAATTAATTGCTCGTGAATGCGGAGAGGGAGAACGTATTGACTTTTTGCTGCTTGATCGGTAGATGAGGGAGCTTCGCCAGCGACTACAGAAAACGCCCAAGAATGTCGAGACCAAGCAGATTGACTTTGAGGGACTTGGAGAGGTGAAGAAGGAGATCCTGGACGTCATTGCCGACGAGGTGAAGCAGGATGAAGTGGAGGCAGCAAGAAAATAGACACACGGCGATCCCTCAACCATACCTGTTAGGCTGCTGTGTCTCCTAAAGTCTTCCCCATCATACTCAACCCTGAATCGCTTCGAGATATGTCAAAGCAGTGGTCGTACTGAACAATCCCGGAATCGAGCGGGGCTTTGACGTTTTGCCTTCTCTTCTCGATGGTGAGTGAACCGCTGGATAAGTTCACCCTTGCGCTCAATAATCTTGTCTTGAGCATGTGCTCGCCTCCTGCAAACAACAACCAGTTGTGTCAGAGCAGAGCTAAACTCACCAAACAAAACAAAAGAACCAACCGGAGTCGCTGTAAGTTAGCTGAAATGTATGCCGTCACATCCCCTACGAAGGTTTGGACGAATGTACAGAGCTGTACAATCTGCTCAGAGGTCATTCCAATCGACAGATCTTTAAGGGCAGCTTCGGCTTGTGCACGGTGGTCAACAATCGCTTGTTCTCGATCAGTGAGAACCGCATCCGACACGATATCACTAAGCTGTGAAGGTTCAGATAGCACAGAGGTAGAGATCGATCCTTTTAACCCCGTTGCTGGAGCTTCCTGAATAAATGGCAGGAATCCCGAGTTACCGGAGCCTGTTGCACTTGTATGGGGCCGTTGATTCTGAAAGATAGAAGACATGATAGCAGGGGTACGCGACGGTGACGAGGCTCGAGGTTGAGCAGTAGTAACATTCAAAGTGCTCATGTGTTGTTGACAAGTCTGAAGCGCTTTCCACGTCGTGATAACCGCTTCTAAGATTCTTTTGAGATCGTCCGAGAATTCTTGTTGCATCTTGATCTCTAGCTGAGTTCGCCAGGACTTGTATTCCAGTCTCCTTTCTTCCAACAGAGCACCCACTTGCTCTTTTAACTTTGTATTTTGTTCTGTCACAGTACCTAACTCCTGCTTGTACCGACCAAGCTGCCTTTCCATTGTTAAAATCGTCAACTGACTCCGTTCAATGTCTGCGTTTTGTCGAGTGTTAGAAACCGTGAGCGTTGTCACCGTCTTCTCCAATTTCTCATTCTCACAACGTAAAATTTCGGTTTGTCGGTCGATCTCAATCTGAATGTTCCGACGCTCTAACTCAATTTTTGCCATGAGTTTCCTCCACTTTTCTTTATCATGAGTAACTTCAGATTCGTTCTGAAGCAAACGCTCAATCGCCTGATCTCGTTCTCGTTCCAGTTCCATTTGGTTCTGCTTAGCAATCCCCTGGTCCAGTTGAGCCTCTTTGGCTCGCTTGCGTGCTACATCTCGATCATGAATCGCTTCATTACGCAACCTCAATGCCTCTTCCTCACGCTCTCGACACTCTTCTTGTATCTGTTGCAACTCAGCAATGACTTTCTCGGCCATTTTCCAGCTCTGCACTGCATTGTTTCGCGCTGTCTGCTCACAAACCAGTTCACTTTGAAGATGAGCATTTTGAATATGCAACGCATCGCGCTCCTTAGTAAGAGACACCACAGCACTTCGAAAATCCTCGACTTGGTTGGCCAGTGACGCGCAGTCTTCCACAACTTGAGCACGCAATACCACGAGTCGATCTCGCTCGATTCGAAGCTGTTCACGCTCCTGTTTAGCTCGTTTGAGCGATCCAACGGCGTGTTCGTACTCTAATTCGCAGTTTTTGAGCTGCTGCTGAGCCAAATCTCGCTGTGAAATCGCGATATCGCGCTCCTTTTCGCATGTGTGTTTGCCTCCGTAGTGCCGGAGCTGCTGTCCCATCTCAAAGTGTCCCCAATGCATGGCCAAATCCAGAGGTGTGTGGCCGTTCTTGTTCTTCTCGTTCAGCGGAGCTCCACGGCGAATGAGCTCCTCCATAATCTTGGAGCGATTCCAGAGCGACGCTGTATGCAGCAATGTATTCCATCCCTGATCTTTGAGTGTGGCAATTTTGGCACCAGCAGCCTTGAGCTCGTGGAAAATTTGTATGATGTAGCCGTCTGTATCGTCGGCATCCCATATCGCTTCGTTATCGAACAAATCGATGATCTTCTCTTGGGTAGCAGCATCAAGCTCACTCTGCTGCTTCGATGACATCTCAAGCAGAAAATAAAAAGAAGATCAACTCAAACTTAAATTATCCTATATTTATCAAAGTTTATTGGAATATCGTGGAGACCAGTGCGGGTGTTCATCACTGCTGTGAGCCCCGCAGCATTTGCTGATGCTCCAGCTTCCACTGCACCACATTATTTTTTAATTCAATTGAATACGTCTCCTTGAACAAGTGCTTAGTAGATTCAAGTGCACCTGCTCCATGGTCGCCGACGTGATTCCGATCTGCACCCGGACGTCTGCACGGTGCTGAGCGAGTCTCGCAAGCTCGCGCTCCGTATTCTACGCAAAATGTAGTAGTTTATTCACTTCATTGAGCATTGACAAGCATCGATGTCTTCATACCTCTCGCATCCTCGCACACCGTGCTCGAAACTCCGCCAAACGAAGGTCTTCTTGATTCAAACCGACAAGTAAGCAACAGCACCAACTACAGTCTCCAGCATAACACGCACCTTGTTCAGCAGTCGATTCCGGCGTCATTTCTGGTTCTTCCTCATCAGTCTCATGGTCGTCGCATGGGTGGTTCTTCATTGCGGCCGTTTAAGACCAAGAGACTGTTCAATTATGGACAAAAGAAGGCGTAAAAGAGGGTAAAATGGTGCATATTAAGGGTTACTCGTTCCGAAACTAAACTGCTTCGTTCATAGCTAAAGGGTCTCCACTTGAACCGAAGCTCCTCAGCCACTGTAGTGCAGATTTAGTTGGTCTTTCGGCCATTCACGTCGGCAATGAACTTGGCATACAGCAGACTGTCACGACCCGTGTGCATATTGGCCATCGCCAATATCGCCATGAGCAGCACAGCGCCAAGCAGCACCGACGTCCACAGGATGATCTGGTACTCAGCAATGTCGGGCATCGACACGGCGCCAGGCGCAGTGGAGTTACCTGTGGACGTCGAGTTGTCCTTGTCTTCCCAGACACTTCCACTGGCCGCAGCCAGATCCTCCACCTCTTCTTCATCGTCTTCTTCACTTTCCTCACCCTCTTCTTCTTCATCATCGTCGTCGTCGTCTTCTTCTTCGTTCGAAAGCTTCGTCACCAGCTTCCGATTACGACGTGAGAGCGCAGACGTCTCGTCAGTGATAGTGGGCAATGTGCCCGTCATTATCTGAGCGGCGACTGTACGCTCGGTCTTCATGAGTTGGGCCAAGAACTCAGTCACTGTGGCCGCCATGGCCTGTTGAGCAGCCTGCTGCTTGTCTCCCTGAAGCCCCGAGAGCCCCACGAGGAACAGTTTCTTGCTCTGCGAGTCCTTCAGCTCCGTTGTGAGCTGCATCACCTGTGCTAGTTGCTGGGCGAAGGCCACGTCCTGCTCGTCACTGGCACTCAAGAAGCTGTTGGCCTTGAGCACCTGTAGCACCAATGTCGAGTCCACTTGGGGCCTTTCAGCGCTCATACTGGCGCATAGTGCGGTGTTTCCGGCACAATGAGTGGATGATGGGTATTTGGCACTAAATTCCTGTGCTACAGCCGCAGGAACCTTGACGTTAGCGGGTTGGGCCGGGTACAGCTCATGGAAGGCTTTGGCTCCGTTTAGAGCCGCGTTAACGGCTTCTAGAGTGGCCGGAGACGCGTCCTCCAATAGAATCATCGCGTATGCATCACTGTGCGTGAAGATATCGGCCTGTAGCGGGCTCTGGACCGCAGAACGCGATGAAATGCTGCCTGTACTGAGTCCAAGGGAGTTGAGCGCCAAATCAGCCATCCCGGCGGCGGAGAAGGCCCCGGAAGAGCGCGTTTCGTGCCATAATGGAGACGATGACTTGCCCAACACCAACATTTGTTCCGCGGAGGCGTCGGAGGCCGCGAGGGCCGTCGCCGAGAGCAGCAATAGTGAGCGCATGATGCGACGATTGACCCTTTGGATCTATCTGAAGAATAGAATGAGGGCAAAAACTGCCAGCATCGCTGAGGAGACATCGTATTGGCTGAAATAGTCAAATATGTAATGGGACTATTAAATAGTCCCTTTTTACCAAATCAGTCACTATTTTGTACATTTCTGATTCCATCCAAATTTAGTCCGATCATAAGTCCCACATTTTGCGCTCCACATTCACCGATACGCCACGTACTTGACAATGACACACCCGACCGACATGTTAGAGCTCGTTCCAGGCCCCACGCAGATGCTGCCCAATGTTCTGGAAGCTCTGGGAACTGCCTGCGGATCGTCTGATCTGGATCCTGCTTTCTGGGACGACTATCTTGCTTTGGAACGCAATCTACAGGAATTCCTACATGCCGAGAGCTGCAGCGTGGCTATTCAATCGGGCGAGGCTATGCTGGCGTTGTGGGGCGCTCTGAAGAGTACTCTAAAGCCTGGGGATGTGGTGGTGTGTGCTGCCAACGGACTGTTCGGTGAGGGCTTCGCAGACATGGCCAAGGCTTTTGGAGCAGATGTGCGAGTGGTCAAGTGCGACTGGCGGAAGACCATCGACGTGCAGGCTCTGAACGAAGAGATCCGTCGCTCCAACCCCAAACTGGTCACTGCAGTACACTGTGAGACGCCCAGTGGTGTGCTCAATAACCTGGAAGGTGTTGGGGAGACGGTGGCCAATGAGACCACTGATGGTCTCTTCTTGGTGGACTTTGTGTCGAGTGCAGGAGGTGCGCCATTGAATGTCGACGCGTGGAAGATTGACTTAGGTCTATTGGGACCGCATAAAGCACTCTCTGGCCCTCCTGCATTGGCATTTACTACCGTGAGTGAGAAGGCTTGGAAGCGGATCAATGAGGTCAAGTACGTCGGATACGACGCGCTCCAGCCGTTCTACCGGGCTGCACTCCAGGAACCCAGACTGCTTCCGTACACGCATAACTGGCAGGCTATCCGTGCAGCTCTCGTTGCGTGTGATAACATCAGACAGGAGGGTGGAATTGAAGCCGCAATTCGTCGACACGCTGAAGTGAGCGCCTTTGCGCGTTGTGAGGTGCAGAAGACGCTGGGACTGAAGCTTTACGGCGAGGAGAGCGCAGCTTCTCCGACTGTGACGGCAATTGAGCTTCCGGAAGGCTGCGACTGGAATGTGCTACAGGAGGAACTTCGTGCGCAGAAGCTGCTGGTGGGTGGATCGTACGGACCTCTAAAGGGCAAGGTACTTCGTCTGGGTCACATGGGCTCCCAAGCGAACAAGGAAGTCGTGGACAAGGCGATCAAAATTATTGGCGCTGCACTCGAGAAGATAAAGTAGATAGAAAGAGGTGTTTGCATTGATAGTCAGTTCTTCTCTGTGGCGAGAAGCAGTGGATTATCGTGCTGCTCTGGTTTGAAGTCATAGTGTATCAAGCAAACCTGCCATTAAGACACTTCGTGAGTCTGGGCGGTACGTCTCGTACTAATACAGCAAGCCTACCACTTCGGGCTCGCCTTCGGGCGCACCTTCAATTCCATACTCTGCCAAAGTCATCATGTCGTGTCTTAACTCATTGGCCTCGGAGAAGTGTCCTCTGCAGATCTTGAGGTCCATGATCGGGCCATGCTGCATTTGAATTTGTTGCTGGGACCACACGACCGTCATGATGTTACTGAAGAGCATAGGGATTCAATTATTCGCAGTTAAACCACCTTGATGGCGAACAACCGTGTGGAGGTCTTTGTGCGGAACTTGAAATTAAGGTAGCTCCAGTTGAGTAGCTAGCAAGAAGGAATAAGCATGAGCAAAGACATTTATATGTTAGTCTGCAAATAACCCCCCAGTTTATCGGTGCGTTGGCTTACCCGCATATCGAGCGTCACGTAGTGTACTGGGTCGGCCTCGATGACAATGGGAGGAGCATTATCAAACATCTATTCAAGAGACATCAGAAGCACAGGATAAGTAAGTTGATAGGCCAGCGATTCTGGTAGTTCTAAGCGTACAGAGGCTACTTCGACGGCAGTGTCGGCTGCATCACCTCCACCAGAGCTAGCCTTGCTCTTCTTGCCCTTGGCCTTCTTCTTCGGTGGCATAACCGTTTTACGACAGTGCCTCAAAGAACGGAATCTCGTTCTCGACAAAATTATCAACAAAAATAGTTACTGTATCGTTTCTAAGAAACAATCCAACAGAATGGTAATCATTTCGATGCCACAATCAAGGCCATCTCCACAGTACGTTGTCATAAGCACCAGAACACAAGAACAGATTGGGCTTGCCGTGTGAGTCGGTGAGTATGCGCTTGCTCGCGCTTCGACTCGAAGCCCTCGAGACAATGCAGCTGATCACCGCAGTGGGGGCCATTTTCCACGAGTCTGTCACACAGGCCAGAAAACGAGCTACTACTGAAGGTAAACAATCGCTATTACATTATGCTAGGTACTTTTAGCAGAGGGCGTGGACTGTGCTACATGGCCCAGTGAGCCTGGACCACTGGTCAATCACAGGCTGTGATTCACAGCTTGAAGATGCCTCACCAACGCCGGTAAGCCGTTGTTTGTGGAAGTTCTTGCTTTGAATCGCTCCAGCCGAACGATGCTGAACTTCAGCCTGAATCGCTCCAGCCGAACGATGCTGAACTTCAGCCTGAATCGCTCTGACGAGATCCTGTATGCATTGTACCCGATGATGATCATTATGATCACACTCAAACGATGCGACATACTGCGAGCAGTGTTACATGTACTAATACAGTTGATTCTTCCGACGAGGGACAAAAACCAATGTGGCGTCCTTATGAGCAACATGCTGAGGCACATCGAGATGTCGTCACGAGAAGCTAACTTTCTGTTAAATCGTGCGGAGCTTCGAGAGAATAGACAGCTTGTTAGGATGCAACAGCAAGCTCTCCCACGAGACCCATTTTCGAGGATAGTGCGAAAAAATGTTTGGGAGGCACAACGCTTTTCATCGGCGTGGACGTCCGTCGGTTGCCCCAGCGGCGCTTGTGTATCTGTACTTGCTACACTCTCGAGCCAGCGCGTTGTCATCCGTCGAGTCAATCTAAGGAACGAATTTGTAGACGCACAAGCGTCATGGTAAAAAAAATTGATGACTCGTTCAATACTTTTGCGACCAAAACCTCTGTAGGCTACGAAATCCAGCATGGATAACTTGTCCAAAGTAAAATGGCTTGCTGGATTGTGAGCAGCGCAGTTAAACCACAGCGAAAATAACGAAGGCATAATTCGTAGCCGCTCAAACTCCGATGGAGAGATACGCGAGTGTCGGTAGCCACACCTGCACGTACACAACGTGCGACACTCTCACGGTGGTGAACCTCGCCGCGAGGTACACTTTGCGACCGCAGGTCCTGTTCAACGCTCTGCTGTGTTTGGATGCTCATGCCTCGACTGGCAGAAATCTCGCCCGAAAGCAAATCTCTGACGACCTGAAGTTCCTACGTTCTACTGAAAAAACATAAAAACGCAACTGGTGCCAAGCTGATGCCAATAATGACGCTCCTGTCGGACCGACAGTCGACGGGCGCGCAATCGTGCAGGTAATCGAAGTTGGGTGGACAAAGCTCTATGTTCTCCGGATTATGAGCCCGACGTGGATCGAGCGTTGTGTAAGGTGCAGGTCCACGTATCATTCCTCAATTTACTTCAAACCTGTAAGGCGAAGCGCTCTTTTGCAATGTTCGCTACGGCAAGACAACAGTCACCAGCACCATCGGCTCTACCCGAATCGGTCGCTTGGCTCGAGCACCTGACGCTCGAAATGACTTCGACCATCAACACCCGGCACGGGCTGGGCAAGCGTAATGTGCAGTATGAGCTCCACATGATCTACCAAACATCCAAGAATGAGACCACGTCATGGACACTTTCCCGGAGTTTCGACGAGTACCGCGATCTGCGAAGAAGGCTAGTGAAGGCTCTACGACTTGGCCATCGGTGCAATGCGGAGTGCAAGTGGCTGGGTAACGTGATCAAACATCACTTTCCTAGGGCCTCGCTGTTCTGCAGGAGCTGCCCTACTGGAGTGGAGGGCACTCGAGTGGCATTGCTACGTATGCTTAACACGGTGAAGGCGTCTTTGGTGAACCACGGCAACCTTGGATGCTCCAGGATGAGAGACGACGTGAGCAAGGTCTTCACGCTGTTCGTGTCTTGTAACAGCACGAGTAAGCATTCGTCCATTGTACACTCGTCTACAGCGTCCACGACGTCGTCACTGTCGTTGTCCCCCAGCAATTTCGAACGCTCGTCAACGTCAGCGTCCCTGACGTCAGACGAAGAGATCCAAGAGGTAGCTCTCGAGTTCGACGACTTCCCTTGCGGAAACTTTTCACGGTGTGAGTGCGGCGCATGCCGATCAAGCTTGCATTAGATGGAGACAATTACCTAGACTGCCAAATGTACATTAAACGAAGTCAAATATCAGCACGTTAATGACATTTTATACTTTACACATTGATGCAATAGGAACCTGCTAATAACCTAACGAAACCCATCGCAAGTTGTAGTATGGTATTTCCCGGTCCCTGTGGCAAGGAAAAGCTGCAATCAATTGCTTGCGCTGGATGTCCACCCGCAGCATCGACTGTCACATCCAGTCTGTGCTTCAATGTAACCACGCGTTTGGATGTGCCGCGCGGTGCTGTGCACTCCGCACTTGCAAGGCGAGAGCTGCAAATGCTGCAAGTTGCAGTGTATCTGTAGACCAGCTTTTGAAATAACAGGGATAACTACGGAACGTCATCTCTGTGGGTCCGGTCAAATGGGTAAGGTCCATTTTTCATTCGCATTCCCGCTGCAACGCAAGGAAACACAACATCAGCTGTCGAGTAAAGCAAAGCTTTAGATTCTTCAATAAAGATGGATTGTGTGCCAGCCCCATCAACACAACCAGCTTCAATTGCTAGGTACGCGATTTTTTAGTTGACGAGCGGTGGCCTCATGGGCCGCATCCCGCCCGTGATAACGGTCCCTGTGGGGCACTTCTCGCCTGAATTGCCTTCTAGAGACATCACCAGTCGAGCTGCCGTCTCGCTTCGACCTGCAACGCCATCTCGGAGCAACTTGCAGCCCCGCAAGGTGATTTCATTGTAGGCTAGATTGATAAAGGTTAACGTCGTGTTTTGCTGCAGCGACTTTGCCAAAATTCCTGCCGCGCTGTCCGACTTGAGACCTGAGCACGTCTACAGCAAACAGACTACCTGAGTCAATCTTTCTTTAAAACAATATTTATGAAATGCATCAATCTTACCAGATCGATACTGCGAAGGCTGGTGTTATCAGCCAGAGCGTAATAGAACTCTACAACTCCAGGAGGTTCGAGAGGGCAGTGACTCTAGTACAGCAAAGCGCAAAAGAAAATGATCAGTACACAAACGATCATAGAAAACTACTTATGTATGAATGATAGTTACTCACCAAGTCGAGAGTAACGAGTGTGCGTGTGGTTTTTACGAGCTGACCCAACGCACTCCCCACTATCGATTCTCCTCCTAAGCAGTCCTGGAAGAGTGCTGTCTCCAGAAAAGAACTAGCCTTAAGAGCACGCACTGTTGCCAATGCAGCTACCTCATCCAGTTTGTTTTCACGATAATTCAGGTATCGTATGGACGCATTTCGCTGTAAACCGCGAGCAATGCTCATGTTTCCTTCACTTGTGAAATTGTTGCAGGAGATGTCTAAGTACGTCAGAGATCGCGTGTGGCTCAGCATATGCGCAAGATGAGTTGAAGTCTCGTCCGATATGCCAGTATTGCTTAGCAACAGCGTTCTCAGCGTTGAGTTGAACGGTCCGCTATCATTGTGAGAATCTCCTGATCCATCGGACATTGTCGTGTGCCTTCGATTAGAAAGTCGCGCTTTGAGTTTTTCTTCCTCCGTTAGAGCTTTTGGTGACAGTGACTGAAGTAGATCGATGGTTGTCTTATCCCCGATCGCATTATGGCTGAGCTTGAGCTCGCGAAGTGCGTAGTTGGCTCGCATAGTATCACCGAGCCATGGAGTGATACCGTCCCTGCCGATCCGGTTATGCATTAAATCAAGCACTCGAAGATGCGAGTTTGTAGCTAGGGCCTTAGCTAGAGCAGTTGACCCAATCTCACCGATGGCATTGTAGCTGAGCGTGAGTTCCAGCAAACAGCCATTGTGCATCAGTGCACTAGCGAGCAAAGCAACGGCAGCATCCTCGAGATGATTTCCACTCAGCGACAGTGTTGTGATGAAGCGCTTGAAAATGTATACAGTCACATTCGTGTCAGATCCAAAAACACTCTGGTACCGCGTGAACTTACATTGGTTGATAGACCTCGACTGAGCTGCGTCATGATATCCATGTCAACGTGACTGCCTCGGAGGTCAAGAACTCGAATCGGTGCAGCGTGTTTAGATTTAGATATTAGTTCGGATGATCTTCCTCCAGCTGTGTTGTCGTCGGTGGTATATGCGTTTTGTAGTGTCAATGTTGAATCCATAAAGCTGCCCTGTCATTCAACAACAAGCGCAAGTTCAATTTATGGTAAAGTTCGACCAGAAAAAATGAATAATACTATACCCCTGGTGTTTCCACGATGTTGAACCCCTGCAGACAATAAGTTAGCTCCTTCGACTCGATAGTTCACTACAACGCATTTTACCGCTAAATAGGCTGTGCCGGACGGGTGCGAACAGATCAAAGTTCCGTCGTGGCTGCGGACTACCAAGCAAACAACCTTTCGACTCCGTTGGCTAACAATGTTAGCTAAAAACAAATGAAGCAGTGCTGACATAAATTACCTTTCCAAAGCACGTTTCAATACTTGACTTCGTTGGAATGGAGCACTTCCACTTCAACGCTGCGTGGTCATAAACTACAGGATTCCTCTTCGTCAGCAGATAAAGTGCTTCATTCACGTCCGAGCACACGCCTTGTCCTTCATCACTCTCCTCGTTTCCAGTTATCACTATCATAATGTCCTCAAGTCTACAGCTACACGTCTCAAAATATCCACTCGCCGAACAGAATAAAGCATCATGTATTTTTTTCTCGTGGATAAGTTTCATTTGTAACCCTCATCAGACACATAGAGTATCGTGGTTTGCAAGTTACTTACCTTCGTTCTTCCAGTGCTCCACGAGTGCCTTGAACAAGCCATCCTGTTTCTTCTGCAGTGCCTTGGGAGTGTCAAATTCTCCAACCCCACCACGCTCCATGACCAAGATGCGATCTGCGTCGAGAATCGTATTGATGCGGTGGGCAATCGTGAGGCACGTGCAGTCACGGAACTCCTCGCGGATGCTGCGTTGGATCTTACGGTCCGTCTCCGTGTCGATCGAAGCGGTCGCCTCGTCCATTAGGATGATACGCGACCGCTTGAGCAAAGCACGAGCAATGCATAGTAATTGGCGCTCACCCACGCTGAAATTCGAGCCCTTCTCATCCACTGGACCATCCAACGCCGACACCACGTGCGCGAGGTGAGCTCGACGCAGTGACGTCCAGATCTGCTCGTCCGTGTACTGGTCAAAAGGATCAACGTTGCTGCGCACTGTACCTGAGAAGAGAACGGGGTCCTGGGGGATAATAGAGATCTTGTTACGCAGCTCGTGCAGTCCGATAGTGCTGATATCCAGTCCGTCGATGACAATAGAGCCGCTGTCCAACTCCACCAGACGCATAAGAGCCACCACGAGACTCGACTTGCCAGCTCCGGTACGACCCACAATACCAATCTTCTCCTGAGGGCGGATCGACAGAGACAAGTTACGCAGCACACGCGGTAGGCCAGGACGGTAGCGCAGATTCACATTGCGGAACTCGATAGCTCCAGCAGAGGGCCATTCCTGAGCGGGAGGAAGCTTGCCAACACTTGTGAGCTCGGCTTCCGTGTCCATGATCGTGTAGTTCTTGATACGCTCCACTGACACCATCTGTGTCTGGAGCTGGCTGAGCATGCGAACAGACCAGTTGAGCGCCTGGGTGACACTAAACGCGTAAGTAAGCGAGACACCTGCAAGCCCAGCGAAAGCTGCTCCGCGCTCTGGGTCCGAACTGTGTGCTAGCACAGCGGTTAGAGCTGCAAAGGCTGCAATAAGTGTACCGGCAAACTCGAGGCGAAGAGCAAGCCAGCAGTTGACTGCAAAGTTGAGAAAATAAGCGCGCTGGTTTTTGTCAATCAGTTCCTCGTTCTTCGTAGAAAACTGGGTCTCTGCGTGGTATGCACGAATCGTCGGCAAGCCGTCCAACGTCTCGGACAACAGAGCAAACACAGGCGAGCGGCTGATGGAGTCCAAACGCTGCAGCTCGCGCGAAGACTTGATAAAGTACCGCTGTGAAATGTAGTATCCAACCAGCACAGGCAGCAGAATGATCATGAAGATCGGCGTCACATACGAGATCGTCGCCAGAGTCACCAATACACTAATAAACGTATTAAGCAGCATGCTCCAAGTGGCAGGGATGCTTTCGTCAACGGTGTACACGTCCTTGGACAATCGGTTCACAATACGACCCGTGGGCGTCGTGTCAAAGAAGGAGGTTGGAGCACGTAGAATGCGAGCAAGAAGGTTCTGGAACAGCGACTTACTGGCACGCAGACCGCCCTTGTAAGTGGTGATAGCACGAATGTACAGCGCCACGGCGTACGCCAGGTTGAGAGCCATGTAGATGTACACGTAGAACATCTCCGACTCCTTGTTCGCAGGACCGTCCTTAGGCTGGGAGTGCTCCGACCAGAACGATAGCCACCACGTGGACAGCAGGTTCACACATTGAGTGGCGATGAAGATAATGATCACGACTAGACCAGCGAAAATTCCACCGAACGCCATTATCCAAGTCTTGTAAACTTGCCACGCCACATCGCCCACAGATCGATCCTCGTCGGTCATCAGCTGTGCTTCCATACCTACCTCACTTAGCGAACGCTCACTGCGCACAGACGAGCGGCTCAATCTCCGAGCAAGACGTTCGGGCGTCGGGTTGTCCTCTTCATCCTCTTCCAACTCATCCACCGAGATATCATCTTCAATCGTTTGAGAGTCTTGCTGTTCGTCTTGGTCCTTGTACTTAGCCACAAGATCCATGAGGAGTCCACCATCCTTCTCCATGAGGTCTTCATACGTACCATTCTCCACAATCACGCCGTTTTCCAGCACCACAATTCTGTTGCACTCGCTCAGGAATGTCAAGCCATGCGTAACAAGAATCACGAGTTTGTCCTTGAGGCAAGTCTTGATGCACTCCTTGAAGATGTCATGGCCAACGTGGCTATCAACTGCAGACAAAATGTCGTCCAGCAGGTAAATATCTGCATCCTGGTATACAGCGCGAGCAAGAGCCACGCGAGTACGCTGTCCGCCACTGAGATTTATGCCCTTCTCGCCAATCTCCGTCATATCTCCTCCAGGGAGCACAGCCAGATCCTTTTGCATTGAGCTGACGCGTAGCGCCTCGGCATACTTAGCCTCGCTAAACGGAAGACCAAAGCAAATGTTTTCACGAACTGTAGCGTTTTGAATAAACGGCTGCTGCGAAACGTAGGCCACAGATCCACGTAGATTAACATCACCGCGGCTGCAACGAGCATCACCCAGAATTCCACCGAGAAGCGTAGATTTTCCGGAACCCACATGGCCAACGACAGCAATCAAGTCACCTGGACGAGCCTCCAGTGACACACCCTGCAGAACGGGAAGGCTATCACCTCCCAAAACTTCCTTGTCCAAGATCGAGTCCTCCTGCAACAAGCTGTCCTCTTCCTTTAATCCCGTTGGAGCTCCCGCAGCTGACGACACCTTCGGTGCCGTATCCCACATGAAATCAGCATTGTTCACGCGTACACCAACGCCGTCGAGATCGCCTGGTCCAACCTTCTCGCGCTCCTCTTCCTGGAAGTATGAGCTCAAGCGGTCAATACTCACACTTGCCTCAACAATCGAGTTCAGTACTTGCGGCAGCATAAACAACGGGAAGCGGAGAATGTTGAACAACGCCAGCGATGTCAGAGCAGTGCCCACGTCCAGCGTGTTGCCCAGTTTAACGTAAGTGTAGAACGACGCCACTGTAACAAGTGAAGGAATCGCCGAGAAGAGTGTCATGGATCCACTACGCGCATAAATGTACGTGCGCAGCTTGCTGAGCTCCTCGCTTCGGTATTCCAGCACGCGCTTGGTGAATGAGTGCTCCCACGCCTGCAACTTGATCACCTTCATTCCCGCCAGCACTTCATTGCAAATCTTGATACGTTCGTCTTTCACCTCCATCAACTTCAGCTGCAATCGTCTCATAAGCTTCGAAATCCCCGCCGTAACTGGCAGCATCAAGATGATCACAGCCACTCCAGCAAACGTCGCGGGACCGATCTGCTTCCACAGCAAATAACAGGCCACCACAATCTGGAAAATGGAGAACCACACACTGTTGATATACGTCGAGAGCTCCTGCAGTCTCTGGGCATCGATACTCATCAGATTGGTGATCTCTCCTGTCGTCTTCTTCTGTCTCGCCGCGGCAGACAACACTAAGCTCTTGGTGTACACTGCAGTGCAAACAGCAGATCTCACTCTCATACCAGACTCAAAGCAATGGAAGAAGTAGTTCCTCAACAGGAAAGACTGCATCACGCCCGACACGAACACAATGCCCGCATAGATCAGACCTTCACTCAGAGGAGCGTCAGGGTTCTGCAGGTACGCTATGATCTCCTTAATCAACATGGGCCCCACAAACTGCAGCGAGTCATGGACCAACTTTAGCAGACCAGCCTTGGCGATCTGGCCACCGAAACAGGATGCCAGCGCCCAGGATAGGCTGGGCTTGCCACTGGGTTTGTTGCACTGCTTCCTCCAGGCCTCTTGGAACTCCGTGGACACCTCATGCGCACGGTTAGCCGGGTCTAGAAGATACAGGTCGTCGTGCTCCAGTGGTCGCTGGTTGCCCAGTTCCATGAGCGGCGTCACCCACGAGAAGAGAGCCGAGGAGATGCAGGTTGCATCCTGAGACGGGTACCGGTCGCCCAGACCTGAGAGCGGACTAGAAGAAGGGTCATGGCGGTTCACCGACACGTGTATGTCCTTGAGAAGAGGGCGCTTCTCTTCCTCCGCCAGCGCCTGCGCCTTCATCACCTGCAGCTTGCCAGCCATCACCTCGGAGTGCGGACTTGAAGGCGAATGCGGAAGTGCGAAGGGTAAAGGGTCGTTTTTCAGTTGGTGTGGAAACACAATGCAGAGTGATGGTTTTGATTACGACGGTTGGTGTAAATTATGTGTTGGACACAAAAGAGTGCAGGGTACATTTCGTAACCCATCGCTGTGTAACCCTTTCCGGAGCAAAATGGAGCAATACCTGCTGCAGCTCCCGAAGCGCCTGGCGCAGGAGGTACGGGAAGGTATCGCGAATGGCGACTCAGCGAACGTGGACATGGTGGCAGGAGGTGCGTGTGTGACGTTATTTGCCGTCCTTACACCCGCTAGAGGGATGAAATAAGCGAAAAAAGAAAAGTTGGAAAATACATACGTTGACGCATTTTGCGGTGCTGTTTGATGCCTTTTCCAGCGGATAACAAACACTTTACACTGCATGTGAACGGCAAGAAGTATCCTGCAAAGATTGGTGCGTTGTTAGTGGTCAAAAGGTGACGTTAGCTGCACGTGTTGACGTTGACGGGCTTGCAGCACAGCTGCCGACCATTTTGGAGACGCACAAGACCTACGACGACAACTTCTTCTACAAGAGCGGTGAAATCGGACAGGTGCGGATCGACCAGAGAGGATAAGATGATTCTGGTGGCGTATTGAACTAACGAATGTTTGTGATATTGTCTGGCGATTTTAGATCTTCGTGGTGACGGACAAAGAAGAAGAGAAAAAGTTACTAGAGATGCAGGACGAAGTGCCAAACGGGATAACTCCTCCAAACACCAACGTCATCAAGCGTAAATACGAGAAAACCAAGAAGACCACGCCGTTCCCAGTACGTGCGAAAGGATATGTTGTTTGAACTATTGCGACTTATGAAGCGGTTCTGGTTGTTGCTACATGTAGAAACCTGATGTCGCTCGAGTGGAAGAAGATCTAGTGAAAATCATTGCTGGTGGTGTTATTGAAGACGTTCATGAGGAGCTGGTAGATTTCTACGATTGGATGGCGGACGACGAGCATCCGGGTGGTATCACTGTGATGGACGAGATGGAGCTCATTCGTGAACACCCCGAGTACTTGACTTTATCAGAGGAGCCATCTACGAAGAAGCAGAAACTACTGCCACCGAGTGCTGGAAGTAGTACAGTGCCAGGTACTGCCAACGCGTCGAATATGAATACTCCCCTTGCGACGGATGCAGGCTCCGAGGCTGAGTCTCAGACAGACGGACGGGCATCGGTCCAGCGCTCGCCTGCGTTCGCACCGACACCAAGCCCCAGATTATCTCCTATGCAGTTGAACTCACAAACTAGCCGAGACAACGACGAAGACAAGGAAGTGGACATGCTGGAGGACGACATCCTCGACGGAATGGACACAAAACCGGCGTCGCCGCCTCGCCAGAAGGCTTACTTGACTGACCCGGAATACCTTAAATTGCTGCCCATTCGCGATCGCTTACAAAAGTCGGTGCGTGATGCTGATCGCGATATCAGCGAACTCAGCGCCAAGGTCGATGCCAACTCCAACATTATCGTCAAGGTAATCTCCTTGTGCCGTGGATTTTCCTTTAGCTTATGATCTGTGAGCTCATATCACCATCGCTACTTGCCATGTTTTTTTATTTGCACTCACTCAGAATCGGTTCAAACAAATGCTCGAGACTGCGCGCCAGCAGCGTACCGAGATCGCAGCGGAGCTTGACAAGGTCAAGGCAGAGATTGCGGATTTCGAGTCGAGCTGAGCGCCTCCATTTATCTAGTCAAAATCTTCGCCATCGGTCTTGATAAAAACCCTCACGGCAACAAACGGGCACAAGACACAAGACCGACTTTAGACGTTCGAGATCAGATCGGTTAATTAGCTTTTTATTGTTTTGTTGGGGTATGATGTGATTTTGTATGCTTTGTTCACGGCTGCTGCTTCAGTTCTTCACCGTCCTGTTCTTTCGTTCGCTTCTTCTCGTGCAATCCCCAATCTCGCACGTTCTCACTGGACAAGAGGGGTACGAGACGACTGCTAAGCACGAATGCAACCCACGAGGGCTAAAGAAACTCCAACGAGGCTATCAGGACGAACTCTCGGATGACTGTTCCTGTTTCGAAGCTATAGCAGGATCCAGTTGGGGCCGAAGCGACAAAACGAGCGAAGGCTTAAAGCCTGACTGAAAGAAATAAGGACGAAGAAGAGAGAGCAGCAGCCTGTTTCAGCGACCTACTGCTGGTGCTTCCACTTGAGCAGCTCGTTGACCTGTTCGTCGGTCAAGTTGAGGCCAGGGATGCTCTTCAGGCCCTTCTTGTCGTGCTCAACGTGGTGCTTGAGGCCTTCCTTGTCCACGACGTCAGTCTGGCCCTTCATCTTCTGAAGCAGCTTGCGCAGCGCCTTCTCATCCTGCTTGCTATAGGAAAAATACAAAACATAAAGTTAGGATTGCGAGGAAGGATACCAATCAAAGAAAATATCTTGAAGTTTGTATAGACGTACTTGAAGAAGACGGCCTCAGCGGCTTTTTCCTTGTCCTTAAGATCGGTGAAGCCCATGGCCTGGGCGGGCGACGCGAAGGCGCGCTTGGGGGCGGCGGCAGCGGCACGACGGATAGCGAGCATAGTTCTCTGTTCTTTGATGTTGTGTACTGACGGTTTGGTTCCCCCTTTTAGGAGCCGCACGTGCTGGTAAAGACACGAGCGCCGCACGCTTCAAGTAGGCAACTTTTTACGTAAAAAAATCAAGGAGGGCGATTGCGGCGGGACAGCGAGGGCATGTTGATGGATCTGTTTCACGGATGGAAAGAATCCTGTCTTTAAAAGCGGCAACGTCCGGTCGACGCTAAGTGTCGCAGTAAAAACGACGCTGACTTTTTACGCTCAACTTCAAGTACAGGCTGACACGCAGTGCTGCGAGGCATTGGTTTTTTTTTTCTCGCTGATGGAGCTGCTACTGTTCACGCCGATTTTGGTAAGTTACGATGGCTCTCTTGTGCGTGTTGCGCTGGTGCTGAGTGCTAGTGTTCTGATGTAGTTTTGATGGGGCGTTTTTGCGATCCTTTGACTCACTTTTCCGCCCATAACCTGGTGCAGCGATGCATGGACTCTTTACGGTAATTTGGCTCCGGCCGGCTGCATACTCCAGCAGACTAGACACGCACAAAGGTTACCCAGTCGAGCGCGTGGGGTGGAGCCCAAATCGCGCTAATTCGGGTCGTGGTTGCTGCAGAGCGCAGGACTACCCCTTTAGATAACTGACATTTCGTCATACCTCGATCGAACACAGACACTATAGTCCTCATGTTGAAAATTTATTGATCTCCCAGTCGAAAGAAACTACAAGATGATGGATCACTGCCAAATTCGATTGTAGGATGCTGCTATCAAACGTAAAGCATCGTCGTTGCGTTGCGGGCCGCGTCGCGGGGAGAGCGGAGGAGTAAATGGACATGCAAGTGTAGCAAGGAGGTCTACGTAAGGCGGGCCTGGGGCGGCGGGCGGTAGCGGCAGCAGCTCCAAATTGGAACGACAAGGCTACCGCCCGGGGTCGGAGGTGAACCCGGTCGGATGTGGAGGAGGCAGGCGATAGCTGAGGCGTTGAAGCTGCCGTGGCTCCGTCTCAACGGAGCCGAGAGCTAGAGAACACCAGAGCTACATCCCCTCCTTCGCAAAAACCATGGACCCTCGTCACGTTAGTGCAGGTGTTTCCAGTTTAAAAGTGCATCCACTTGCTCCTGCGTCAGATCCACACCAGGCACGAGGCCGGGGATCTCGCCGAGTGTTTGCTTGTCGTGCTCAATCTGGTTGCGGAAGCCCGTCTTGTCATTGTAACAGGCTTGCAGATGCATCTTCCGCAGCAACTTCCGCATCTCCTTTTCGTCGTCCTTGCTACAGGATAGAGTTAGACAGATTCAAAACTGATTCGTTTACGAATGAGGCCGTACCGGAAGAGCACGGGGCGCCGGTTCTCCTGCGCTTGCGTGGTTAGTGCACGCTGCGTGCTCATGACGGCGACCTGAAGGACCGGGGCCATGGTCACAACGCGCGGTGCTAGCGCGAGTGCGGTCTGCTTGGTGACGAGGACGAGGGCGGTTTGCATGGTTTGAGGTAGAGGAGTTAGTGGCGACGTTAGCAGCGAGGCGCCGATCGGTGACTGGACTGGAGCGCGGAAGTTCGCAAATGACAATTCCTCGCGAAGCAGAACTGAGTCCAGCTCACCTACCATGCAAATCTTGCAAATATGCTCTCGCGTTTCTAGCTGTTTGACGGCGCGACACGCATTTGGTGCATGGTGACGCACCAATAAGCTGCGCGTGTGTGCTATGCTATACGATTGCTTGGAAACGTTTTGGTTGGATGCCGAGGACTTGACCTCATCGCGATTGCTATCGCCGCAAAGGCGTTTGACGCTGTCAGCGATGATGCCTCGGAACAGTATGGATAAGAATATGCCGATTGCAGTGTGTACTTGATTATCTGGAAAATGCTCATCGGTGTCATTATCTCGTGGAATGACAGCTCCCGGAGATAGACCCAGCAACTCAATTTCAACACCAACGTATGAAGTACTGTCAGGCAATGGAGTAGCTCCATTCGTTGCAGCATCCTGCTCAACAGTGTACACTTTGTACTCTGCGCTTGCCAATCGATCTGCGCACAGTATGATTGACCAGATTTCCAGGACTCCTGAAAATCTGGTCATTCCAGTTGAGTAAGCCCGCACAACCTTCCTGTGGGAGTGTAGTAAGACGGAAAGCTTTAGACTTCAGGAGAGAAAGGAGACCCTTTTTTCCAGGTAAACCGTTCTTGGAGTGGGTTGAAGGGATAATCTACATTGTGGAGTTATCATCACAAGAACAGCAGCACTTCACTCGTAAATTTGAGAGATATTTCACAGACCAAGGAAAACCAGCCTTTGAAAAATCCGTGGTCACCTGTGGATCCAAGGCTATCCTCGCTCTCCATGTAAGCTCTCCATTCTACCTTCGTTGCAGTACGAACGGAAATGATTGGCAAACCACGTTCACGATTCCGATCGATCGACTCAACAGCCATTCTGTATCTAGCTAGCACTGAAACAAGCTTTACTGACAACCAATGAAAATCTCCGAATTTTCGAAACTTACCAATCAGCGAACAGTTTTTAATCGCCATGAGTGTCAGCAATTGGAGCAGCAGTAGCAGCGACCAGGACGATGACACGGCGTGGTCTCGTGCGCGGCTCGCAGAGGAAGGTGTGGCATACCGCGTTGTGTACGTCCAGCCAGAACGTCTCTCTATATCACCACACTCTTAATTCTCTCTTTTCCTTTCAACCTACGCTCAGAAACGTTCTTGGCAGTGGCTTTGTCAACGACCGGGTCGACATCAAGAAACTCGCGCTGCTCGTGCGCAATGCCGACTACGCACCTCGAGTAAGCAGCAGAATTCCAGAGCTACACGGCTGTTCATGTGGTTAAGCAGTATGAATTATTGTGATGGCAGGGGTTTAGCGCGTTGGTCATGCGCTTCCAGGCTCCTCGCGCGACAGTGTTGCTGTACAGGAGTGGAAAGGTAGGTTCCCATTACAAAGGGTTACATATAGTATATAATGCTAATTTAGTGTGCAGTTTGTAGTGATCGGCGCCACGAGTGTAGCAGATGCCAAGCTTGCTGCAGAGAAGCTAATCTCCATATTGAAGGTATGCTCGTGGCAAAAATCATCAGTTGACATTTTGTCTAACACTTTAAACGTAGAAAGTGTCGTTCCCGAGCGACAGCAGTCCATTCACTATTCGTAACGTGGTCGGGGCGGCGGACGTTTGCTTTAGAATTCGTCTGGAAGGTTTGGCACGAGACCACCTTCGCTTTAGCACGGTAAGCAGATACTTGGATCCTGTGCTAAGTGTGAGTTGAACTCTCTGACGAGAATACTATTGTCTTGAACTAGTACGAGCCAGAGTTATTCCCAGGGCTTATCTACCGCATGCTGCGCCCCAAGTGCACCTTATTAATCTTCATATCCGGCAAAATCGTTATCACTGGATGCGAGGTACGACTTCAAATAATTTGTTTAAATGATGTTCACAGCTGCACGAGCAGGGGCTAACTATTTTGTTTCGATGTGGTAGTCTTCTGCAGACGGAGAACGAGCGCTTGGAACAATGTATCCTGTACTACTACAGTATCGTCTTCGCGACGACGGATCCGAAGAGGAGGATGACGGAGATGACTCGATGGACGGTGGATCAACTTTTATTTAACGCATTGCAAACAACAGACCCAACTTACAGCTATCCAGCACATCAAAGTGTCATTTTCTGGTGGAGATTTCTAATGGTAATTGACTCTCGATAGCTGCAGCCCATTTCACCCAGTTCCCAAGAAAAAACGGAAATACAGTAACTAAACGAAGCACTCGATCGTGCAAACTAACGAGTCCTCAGGTCACTTCTACGTGTCACTTGATGACATCCATGCAATAATGTCAGCGAGTGCCTATCATCTACGTTCGAAGCCGCAAACTTCGACTCGCTTTGTTCTATCTAACATTACTGTTCGCGGTTAAAGCACTTGGAGTCGTAGAAGCGAAAAGACTTCACTTAATCAGTCCAACATTCGCTTGCACTATTGAATGGCGACGTTCGAGATCTCAAACAAAGAAACGGTGGTCGGAACGAATGCATAAATATGTTTATTCTTTTGTGCTGTAACACGGAAGTAAATGTGTAGGCACCGTCGAACCAAGATGATTTTCAGCTGGGCATCGTACAGGCTTAAGTTTAAAACGTAGGGTGCGTTGCAATTGCGTGTGTAATAGGACTGACCAAACTTTGCCTCTTCTGGTTACACGAATCGAGTGTAGCAAAGACGATTTACGCTGTGCTGTCTGAAAATTAGCCAGGAGCGTTCTAATGAGGCTGCGGCCGGCATTTGCAATAAAACATCATTTATTCATCCACTGATTGTGCTCACTCATACGCTCAGACGTCGATCGTGGACATACTCCAACAAGCACTATCGTCTACCTGTTGCGTCCGTGTGGGAAGCGACTTGATCCTCGTTCCAATGTTGCTCCGGTGGCGTGTGTCTTCGCGTAGCATGACTGTTGATCATGGCCCTCGCTTGTTTCTCAGAATGTGCCGTATGCACTTCAACACGCTCTGCAACAAGTGGATCTGACAGCCGATGCTTGTTTTTCTTCCGTAATTACTGTTGATCTTATGTCCCATTCATGAACTCAAGAGAAATATTAGAAGCTCTCGATCTTCATGATCTTGCCCAGGTATAGGAAATCGCCAAAAACCTATGACACCGGCAATCATGGAAACTATTTTTCGACGTAAGATCGAAACTCATTGGCTGAGAGCTACTTGGTACGTTTCAGCGTCGTCCTCGATCGGTCCGCAGTCTTGTGAACGAGGATGGACACGTTGACCCTCTA